GAAGAGCGGCGAAGAGGAGGACCTACATGAAGAGGATTATAGTTCACCCGTCCTTTCGGAACATCGACTTTCGCCGGGCGGAGAAGCTGCTGGGGGAGATGGCGCAGGGGGAGGCGATCATCCGGCCCTCCTCGCAGGGAAACGACCACCTGACGCTGAGCTGGAAGGTCCACGACGGGATTCACATGCATGTGGACATTAAGGAGGGGGAGAAGAGCAATGTCTTCTCGCTGGGCCGGCAGTTGTTCATCGAGGGGGAGACGTATGAAGATTTGGATGAGATCATCGCGCGGTACGTGCAGCCGATGGCCGCCTATGCCCGCGACCTGACCGCCTTCAAGTACTTCAGGGAGCAGACGGGTGGGGGCACTCCTGGGGATATGAGCGCCGTGGAGAAGGCACTTAATGAGGAGAAGCAGAAGGCGCCTTCGCGCATTCCCTACATTGTCACGCCGTCCAAAGGTAGGGGAAATTTTTAATTTTTGTTGTTTTCATTGAGATGATTTAACTTATCATTTTCCTCTTNTGAGCGCCGTGGAGAAGGCACTTAATGAGGAGAAGCAGAAGGCGCCCTCGCGCATTCCCTACATTGTCACGCCGTCCAAAGGTGAGTTCAACTTTTACTGTTGTTACATTGAGATGAACTTACCTTCTCTTTTTTGCAGAATTCCCCGGCAAGTTCCTCCTCTCCTACCAGCCAAAGACGAACCCCTTCCACGAGTACATCACCATCACCACGGAGGGCTACCGCTACCGGAAGATCACCTTCAAGACGATCAACGCCCTCTTCAAGTGGTTCAAGGCGCACTTCAACGACTCGACGACCTTTCCGCGGACGCCCGGCCCGCCGCAGCTCAGCACGCCCAACAGCATCAACGCCAGCCCCTATGGGGCGGTTGGGGGCGGCGGCAGCAGCCAGAGGACGCCCGGCATGGTCTCGCCCATGGTTTCTGGTGGGGGGCGAATGGCCACGGGTGGAAATCACATGGGCGGCGGTGGTGGTGGCTTTGGAGTGCCCACGCCGAACATTAGCCAGCAGGCGCTGCAGCGCGTGGCCGCCTCCATGCCGAGCAACCTCTTCACCACGCTCTCCGCGGTGGCCGGGCAGACGCCGCAGTTTGCCAACGTTGGCTCGTGGACGGCGGCTGCCACGCCTGCCAGCGCCGCCGGCGGCTTTGCCGTGCCGGCCCGGCCCCCGGTGCGAAGTCATCCCTTTCAGACGCCCAACAGTTACGGTGGTCACCAGNTTTGCCGTACCGGCACGCCCCCCAGTGCGAAGTCATCCCTTTCAGACGCCCAACAGCTACGGTGGTCACCAAGGTGGTGGAGGAGGGCTACCGATGCACCCGGGACCGATGCCGCCGCCGCCTCCGCCCCCGCCCCCAGGACGGCCTCCAATGCCTTCGCCTTCATCTTCAGCTAATAATAATCGTCCTGGTTCTCGCAGCGGCAACCAGTGGGCGGAGCTGATCACCAGCACCGACTGGACTTCGGGGTCGCCTGCTCAGGGAGGAGGAGGAAGTGGAGGTCGTCCTGGAGCAGGAGGTGGTGGTGGTCGCCAGGCCCTGCCGCCCTTTAACCCGGGCGGCGGNCGGAGCTGATCACCAGCACCGACTGGACTTCGGGGTCGCCTGCTCAGGGTGGAGGAGGTCGTCCTGGAGCGGGAGGTGGTGGTGGTCGCCAGGCCCTGCCGCCCTTTAATCCGGGTGGCAACAAGCCCCGCACGCCGGCCTACTCGACGCCGGGCGGCAGCTCGCAGATGTCCATCAGTCCGGCGCAGGAGGAGACGCCCAACATTCGAGGCGACCAGACGCCGCTCATTGACGAGTGGACCAGTCGAGACTGAAGCTGCTGAAGCTGAAGCTGCTGAACAGCACACACCGATTGAACTACTGAAGCTCGCATTACATAGCACACCTTAGCACCCTACACTTCATCATCACACAAACAAACAAACAAATAAACTCTCTCAACTCATGAATGTAATCACGTCACTCTTTCTAATTTGTCTGTCAGCCACTGTAAAATGAGAATATTATGCTCATCTATTCTGTTTCAAACAAAAATAGAACTCTAGGGTTTTTTGTCAGTGAATTTAATTTGGCGGTTCTTTGGCTGCGGGCAAGTGTTTTTGGGCGAGTAAAGTGGCAATAGCGGCGCCGCTGCTTTGGCTGCTGCTGCATCACCAAAATCATGCGCATAGAAGTGGAGGAGGATAAAGAAGTAAAGTAAAGAAGAAGCAAAGAAGAAGAAGAAGAGGCTGGCCAGGACAGTGTTCCTTTCCTTTAGCTTTATTGGAGAGCTGCAACTGAGACTACTACTTCTACACTTCTAAAAGTGAGTGAGCAGCGGTCTGGCAACAGAGAGAGGATCGTACTCTTGAAACACCACCAGCAGCTCTGTTGTCCGGNCAAATCATGCGCATAGAAGAAGAGGAGGATAAAGAAGTAAAGTAAAGAAGCAAAGAAGAAGAAGAAGAGGCTGGTCAGGACAGTGTTCCTTTCCTTTAGCTTTATTGGAGAGCTGCAACTGAGACTACTACTTCTACACTTCTAAAAGTGAGTGAGCAGCGGTCTGGCAACAGAGAGAGGATCGTACTCTTGAAACACCACCAGCAGCTCTGTTGTCCGGCGTCTGTTCGGTCTGTCTGACCATCAGTATCAAGCGAGACACCAGGCGAAGACTGTGCAAAGAAGGAGTGTCTGTCTGTTTGTCTGTCTGGTGCATCCTAGCCACCGACGCCGCCGCCGCCGTTGCCGCCGCCCGAGTACTTCTGATCTCGATTTAGAAACAGGAGAAAGAAGAGAGGGAGACGCCGCAGAAGCGCAACAGCAGCAACCACAGCAGCCATCATCAGCATCGACACCGCCGCCGCCGCCGCCGCCGCCGCCGCCGCCGCCACCACTACCATCAACATCGGCATCACATCATTACATACGGACACACCTGAGAACAGCAGCAGCAGCAGCATCGGCAGCAACAGCCGTCAATCGTCGATTGACTGCTCAAGCATCAGCAGCAGCAGTGTGTGCACTACCACGACCACCACCACCACAGCTATCATCGCCAGCGACAGCTGCAACTTCAGCCTCTACTCTACTCTCGTGGTCTCTCCCAGATTTTCTCCCTGTCTCCTTTTTCTTTTTCTGATCGCCGACGACGCCGCCGCATCCAGCAAGAGGAGGAGGAGGACACAAAATCAAAAGAGAGAGAGTCAAGCACGGCACATTCAGCAGCAGCAGCCGCCTCAGCCTCAGCTCCCGCCGACACAGCAACAGTGTTCTACATAGCTGTAGTAATTGCCGCTGACAAACGCTCAGGCTCTGCACCAGCATCACATCGGCATCACAACGGCATCGTGAACTCGCATTGGAGAGAGTGAAATCAACCGACGGTACAGCAGCAGCTTTCATCGCCGCCGTCATCGTTGCCTCAACGCCGACGCCTCCCACGCCGAAGCAGCAACCGAAGCAGCAGCAGCAGTTTAGCGTCTGCTCACGGTGTCCCTGTGTCTTCACCGATACCACTGTCGTCTTCAGAATCGTGGTGGAGGATTCTTCTTCATCCGCAAGGAAGAGCCTCAACTCGTCTGTTTGCCAGCCAAGCGCGCCCTCCTCTTCATCTTCATCTTCATCCTCTTCCCCTTCATCATCAAAAGCCTTTTCCAGCTAACTGTCCACTCTAAGTGCTCTATTCCTTTCTTTCTTCCTTCCTTCCTTCCTTTCCTCAGTCTTTTCCCTCGTCATCCTGCCGAAAGTAGTCCTCCTCTCATCTTCAAGGAACGACCCCAACGCACAGGCACACACAACCTCAGCTCGGTCGTCGTCGTAAACAGCCGCACCAGCAGCAACAGCCACAGCAGCAGCTTTCCCTCTTGAATCCGATCGGCTATTTTTGATTGTTTGTTTGCTCCGAGCAGCAGCGGCGGCACTTGCTTGCTCACTTGCTTTAGCAGCAGTATTCCTCTCACCACTCTGTGTGTGTTCGGTGCCGGTGCTCTNTGTGTGTTCGGTGCCGGTGCTCTCCTCGCCCTGAGCCTATCCAGCAATAACTCTCTGACAGAACGTTACTGGACTTTGCTTCTTCTTCTTCGTCTCTTCTTCGTCTCTTCAAGAACTGTTTTGTGTCTGTAAGCACCAAATCTGCCGGCTTCTAAATCCAATCAGCCACATTGGGTAAATCATCATCCTTCTCAACATGCAGGCCATCAAATGTGTCGTCGTTGGCGATGGGTGAGTCTCAGATCTTCCTCTTTCTCCTTTTTCTTTTGTGTTGGCTGTCATTGGTGGTAAAAGTGATAGCATCAGCCAGCCGCCCGGCACTGTGTCTGTGTCCTCTGTTATCAACTGCCTCTTTCATTACTGATCTAC